CAATCCTATGGAAACTCTTTGAGAAGACCATCATGGAGCACATCTGCGATAGGCCGGCCTCAGGGATGATGCTCAAGGGCAACCAGCACGTTTCATTAGGGCCAGGTCATGTCAGACCAACCTGATTGCCTTTTATGATCAGGTCACAAAAGCACTGGATACAGGTGTCGCCGTGGATGTAGTCTTTCTGGACTTCAGCAAGACGTTTGACACCGCCTCCCACCCCATCCTCATTAAACAATTGGGCGACTGTGGCATTGATACCTACACAGTCAGATGGATTGCAGATTGGCTGAAGGGTTGTACTCAGAGGGTGGTGGTGGATGGGTCATATTCGACCTGGGGAGAAGTGGGCAGCGGAGTCCCCCAGGGCTCGGTCCTTGGGCCTGCGCTGTTCAATTTCTTTATCAGTGACTTGGACGACGGGGTGAAAAGCAACCTGTTTAAATTCGCTGATGATACCAAAATTTGGGGTGAGGTGGGCACGCTAGTAGGGAGGGAAAGACTGTAGCAAGACCTGGATAGGTTACAGGGGTGGGCTAACAAAAACAGGATGCGTTTCAATACTGGCAAGTGCAGGGTGCTGCACTTGGGCAGTAGTAACTTATAAGATGGGAAACTCCCTTGAGAGCACGGAGGCAGAAAGGGATCTTGGAGTCATTACTGACTCCAAGACGACAATGCAAGGTCACGGTTGGCAGGGCTAACCGGACCCTGTCGTGCATCCACAGGTGCATCTCAAGCAGGGCCAAGGAGGTGATCCTCCCCCTCTACACGACACTGGTCAGGCCACAGCTGGAGTACTGCGTCCAGTTCTGTGCACCCCACTTCAGAAGGGATGTGGACAATATTGAGAGGGTCCAGAGGAGGGCCACCCACATGATCCAGGGACAACAGGGCAGACCCTACAATGAGAGACTGCAGGACCTGAACCTGTTCAGCCTTCACAAGAGAAGGCTGAGGGGGGACCTGGTGACCGTCTATAAATTCACTAGGGGGGACCAGAAGGGTTTGGGAGAGACCTTGTTTCCCCGAGTGCCCCCTGGCATAAAAAGGAATAATGGCCATAAGTTGTTCGAGAGTAGCTTTAGACTAGACAACCAAAGGCACTACTTCACGGTCAGGGCGGCTAGGATCTGGAACCAACTTCCAAGGTAAGTGGTGCTGGCTCCTACCCTGGGGGTCTTTAAGAGGAGGCTTGATGCCTACCTGGCTGGAATCATTTGAGCGCAGTTTTTTCTCCTGCCCAGGCAGGGCGTCGGACTTGAAGTTCTACAAGTTCCCTTCTGACCCGACTTCTATGATTCTATGCTGTGAGAATGGAAATTGCAGACGCTAGGGACTGTGCATAGCTTTTTCAGGGCTTGCCTGCTGGAGCAGCACACATGCCAGCCTCTCTTGTTTTATCATTAGCTTTTCAGACATTTCAGTCCTGATCATTATCAAGAGGATGCCATTAGCAGCTAGGAATAACCAATATGCAGCTTGCACAAAGCTGGAATGCACGGGGGCAGAAATACCATGGCACCCTAAATCCAGCATGCGAGGTAAGTCGGGGGGTATAAATATGTCAGATCAGTTCTGGGCAGATATAAGCTTATGACTATTAAAAATTAGTCATAGGTAAGAGAAACAATAGCATTTTGGGGAACTACAGCAATTGACAGTATTATCCAAAGCTGTTGCTAACTGACCCTGATGTGAACTAAAAAATGGGGCTGGGGAGGGGGAAAGGGGCAACATTCTCCAGAACTGTGGATCCTCAAGCAAGTTGATAAAACATTGCTAAGACTAGCTAATCTAGCATAGTTGAGCTAGGTCTACCATGAAAGTTTATTAGTTTAGGCATAAAATCTATTCTTCCACCTTACAATAGGGTATTTTACTTGTTCCACCTTAAACAAGTATGAAAAATGGACTTATGTGGGGCAAGCAATATTTTGAATGGCTGAGCAAAATGCATGGAATTTTGAAGGCCTGAGCCCTAGTCCAGGAAGTGACTAGAAATGCAGCCTCAAGCACTTGAGCATAAACTGGGAGTGTAGCTTGGAAGTGTGCTTTTGCAATCAAAGAATTCAGAAGCCTTTGTAATACAGCTGCTCTATTCAAATCTCTCTCAGGTCAGCTATTAGCAAAAGCTCCTAGCTCCCCGTCTCCTGCTTACCACAAGTCTATGCACCACTTTTGGTCACTTGTATTGGCCTGCTTCTAGTATTGGTGTTTTATTTATGACACTGAAGCATGTCCTAGATGTTGGAAACAATGTGCCGTAGTGAGGTTGAGTGAAAGAGCAAAGAAAAGGTGACTATGAAATATTCTGTATCCTCAATTCCTCTTGAGCAGCAGAACAATACAGACTAACAATGGCTTTTTAAAAAGCAAAGCAACAAAGGCAGCTTTTTTCCCTACTAACTTAAGGATGTTCTGGAGGATTCCTCACCACAATTTTTAAACGTAAAACTAATTAATCAATCAACTGAACTTAACAATGCAGAAGAGAAGCTCACCGGGGAATGTTCTGCTGCACTAGCAGCTTTGAATGAGTCACAAATGGAAGTCAGCAAGTCCGTAAATGCTGGCAAGATCTGCGGAATTTATATTGCACTTGGCCCCAGATGTTCCAAATGTCAGATGATATTTTAAGATGTAAGCCAGGTCAGATGATATTTTAAGATACAAGCTGGGTCAATTATAAAGATATTTATTAGCTTATTATAGAGAAGTGCTGTTACTGCCATTACTCAGCCAGATTCTGTAAGATAACTCAAGTCCCAAGAGCAAAACTGCAGGAAGTCAAAAGTAAATGGACCAGCCATTTATTTTCTTCCTAAACTATCTTTTTTAAAGAGGTCAGCAAACATCTCAAATGTCTTAATACAAAGAATAAGCTATTAAAATGTTGGTAAATACAGTCTTGTTAATGATGTGGTACTTTCTTTTCAAGGGAACAGAAGGTCTAGAAGAACAAAACAAAGCCAGTCAAGAGAATCCTTTGCATCGCAGCTTCCTGATACTATTGCCATTACAACACTGCCTTGACATAGTCCCACAGGCTTACACTTATACCATCTCAAATTAACAAGATGTCTCATGTGCCTCCTATTATTCCACAAAACAGGCTTGCAGGGCATGATCCTGGAGACCACATGACAAAACTGCTTCACACACATATTGCCAACTGCAGCGACTGATTATCTGAGTAACAATAACCAGTGTAAGTAGTTGAGTACAGACTGTAAAACAGCAAGAAGCTTGCCCCCTCTCCTGTGCCTGGATGAACTGCTGGGAATCGCACTCTTCCTGGGTTTGCTTCATTTTCCAGGTAAGTACTCTGGTTGCTTGGTAACTGGCCCCTCAAAAATGTTTGCAATCAGGAAGGTTGAAATTAGGGCTTTGTGAAGCTTCAGGTGCTGATTCGGAGGAGATTCAACCTGATTCAGTGGCTGAACCCCCAAATCCAAATCAAATCAGGGGTCCAATGAAAAGGTCCAACATCGAAGCACTCCGAATCGATTCAGAAAAGATTCAGAGAGCTTTGGCGATCCGGGCAGTCCCTGCCTGCTGCAGCAGGGAGCTGGACCAGGACTCCATGCTAGTAAGTAGGGGGCGGGGGGGCCACTGCCAGGCCCCATCCTCTGCCTGCTCCCTCA